CAGCAACCTCCAACTCTCAGGCTCAAGCCATCCTCTTGCCTCAATTTTTCTATTTTTAGTAGAGATAGAGGTCTCACTTGTTTCTCAGGCTAGTCTCAAACTGGTGAGGTAAGTACTCCATCCACCTCAGCCTCCCAGAGTGCTAGGATTACAGACATGAGCCACCATGCCCGGCCTACTCTTCCCTTTTCTCCATGGAATAAGTTCTAGCACCTCTAGTGGATGCCTGAAATCACACATAGTTCCAAACCCTATGTATACTATGTTTTTTCTATATATACATGCCTATAATAAAATTTAGTTTATGAACTAGGCACAATAAGAGATTAGCAACACTAGTAATAAAATAGAACACTTATAACAATATACTGTAATAAAAGTTATGTGAATGTGGTCTCTCCCTTTCTCAGTAACTTATACTTTACTCACTTATTTTCTTTCTTTTCTTTTCTTCTCTTTTCTTTGAGACAGAGTCTCAAGCTGTCACCCTGAGTAGAGTGCGGTGGCCTCACAGCTCACAGCAAGCTCCAACTCTTGAGCGTAAGCGATTCTCTTGCCTCAGCCTCCAAAGTAGCTGGGACTACAGGTGCCCACCACAACACCTAGCAATTTTGTTGTTGTTGTTGCAGTTGTCATTGTTGAGCAGGCCCAGGCCAGGTTCCAACCCACCAGCCTCGGTGTATGTGGTCGGCACCCTACCAACTGAGCTAGGCGCCACCCTTTAGTCACCTATTTTCAGACTATGGTTGATGACAGGTAACTAAAACCCCTAACAGGTAGAAAATGCAACTATTGCAATCTTTCTCACATTGCATTACTTTCTCTTTTGCATTATTTTCCATATAATTTCCACATCTCATGGTTGGCTAATTAATAACCTTCATTCCATCTGCATTGATCTTTGCCATAACCTCACATATTCACAGGTTGTGGGGATTAGGACATGGTCATCTTTTACAGGGGCCATTGGAAGAGATCAGTGGAGAAAGGACAAGTATTAAACATTGAGGAGCCAAGCAGTGTGACAGGCACTACATGAGTCTTTCTACCCCAGAATTGAAAACAGAGGAGAAAGAGAAATATTTTTCTAACTCTCGCATGCATGAGGTTGTTCTTTTTGCTGTACTTGAAATCACATAAATTTGGCTGTCATCAAGTAAACCCACAGATCTCTAGAGGACTGGGAAGACTAGTTAGAACCTCCAGGTTTCTATATAATTGCTAGGCTTAAATCAGGAATAGATTAACAGCAGAAACACGTGATCTAAGGCCGTTAGGCTATTTGCCTTCTGACAATTGGCTTTTTAGCAGCGATAGAAACTATATTAAGTCCTCCATCTGTGGTTCTGATACAATCACGTCTCTTAATTACCAGGACTTGACACTTAGAACTACCTTTTTTCTACAGTAAATGAAATTATTGGTGGCTGTGAACTAAAATAAAATCTTATTATCTCTCTCCCACCCCCCTGGTGACTGAATGGTCCCTCGCTTGGCCAAGAAGATCCCAGAAATACCCTGAAGCTGAATTGTTGGTTGTGAGAAGGGAGATCAGACACGCCTCCTCATGTCCCTTCCCTTCTTGGAGCTCCTTGACAGATCTAAGGCTATGTGAGACAAAGCTTCACGCACCTACAGCTTATCAACTGAATTAACAGATCACTTGAATCTGTGTCTGGTGGCAATTCCTCATCTTGAAATGGTCTGCCTTTTGGGGCCAAACCAATGTATGAATGCCTTCCATATAATGATTTATGACGTGATGTGTAATTCTTGTCTCCCTGAAATGTAAAAAACCAAAATGTAACCCAACTCTGAGGAGACCACTTGCTCAAAGCTTCTTGGTCATTGGCTCTCCTGGTCATGGTTGCACATATTCAGCTCAGAATAAACCTCTTTAAATTATTTAAGAGAGTTTCAGTTCTATTCCATTGATAATTATGATTTCTCTATATAGTGGATCACTGAAGTTCATTCTTTTTGAATGCTATATAACATTACACAGGATATTATTCATCCAGCTGGTTGCAGCGGCTCATGCCTCTAATTCTAGCACTCTGGGAGGTAGAGGCGGGTGGATTGCTTGAGTTCGGGAGTTCAAAACCAGCTGGAGCCAGAGCAAGACACCATCTCTAAAACAATAGCCAGGCATTGTGATAGGCACCTATAGTATCAGCTTCCTGGGAGGCTGAGGCAAGAGGATTGCTTGAGCCCAAGAGTTTGAGGTTGCTGTGAGCTATGATGCCACAGCACTCTACTGAGGGTAACCAAGTTACATTCTACCTCAAAAAAAAAAAAAAAGAAAAAGAAAAAGAGGCCCAGGACCTGTGGCTCAAGCA